GAGGCTAGAACCGACTTGATAGCCAATCAATATGCTACTTTTCTACAAAAGCATAATGTTGACTGGCATTGCGCACAACGCATTGAAGCGTTTTTCTGCAGACGCCGTTATGTAAGAAAAATATTATAAATTTGAAAGTAACGATAAAAAGTAACGCCTCATTTTGTTACTCATTACCGAAGAAATGTAACGTCGTTACTGCTTTCGTTACACATAAAAAAAAGTAACGTCGTTACGGAGTCGTTACCAAAAAAAAGTAACTGTAACGGTAACGTCGTTACAAGTAACGCGTTACTTCCCAACCCTGCTAAAAAGTTGCGAGCAAATTGGCATCTGTTATGTCCGCATTAGGCTTACGATCTGCTAGCAAAGCCTGCTCACAGAATCTGATAGCAGATTGATAGCAGAAACCGAGCAGAATCTGCTAACATGACTTGACATCAGATTGTCGGCAGAAACCGAGCAAGATCTGCAGCTTTTATTTGTCAATGTTAAATATTAAGTAAATGGCCAATACTTTTACGTTTTGAAAAGAAAATAGGAAAGAAGAGCAGTTACATTATCGACACGACGTAGTTGTGGACAACCGATTGCTACTAGTTAGTTCGCACGGCGCTCGTTGGCGCTACGAGCAACCGCCCCGCTTGCCCCCCGATCCCCGCACCTATTCCGCGATTCATTGACGCGTTGTGTACGATCAATCACGACAGTTCCGCATTATGGCTAGTATACAATGGGAGTTCTCCATCTAAATAGGAGTAGAGCTGCGTCTAATGCATAGAGCTTATACTCATGGAGAGGCCCTGCCTATATGCTAACCATAGAAAGGGCTCCGCCGGGAAGATCGACAAAGAGAGATATATTTCGATATATTTTGTCTCAACTGTGGCTCCCCCACTCCGTGTTCTCTGTTATTCTCTTCTATAAGAAGTGGCCACAGTTGAAACAGAAAAATATATCTCTCTTTGTCGATCCTCCTTGCGGTCGCAGGGCCTCTCCATGAGTATAACCTCTATGGTCCAATGTCATTATACGTCTATGTAATATATAGACTGCGCGTTCTCTACATTTGCCATGTTAAGAAAATGGGTGTGTTTAGCCGAAGTTAGCGCTACGTAGCGCTACGTAGCGGCTTCATGTAGCAGTTGCAATTGCTGCGTTACTTCTGCTGGACAGTATTGCTACGCGCAGCATGTTCTATAGAAGTAACGCAGCACTTGCAACTGCTACATGAAGCCGCTACGTAGCGCTACGTAGCGCTAACTTCGGCTAAACACACCCAATGTCTTCAACGTTGAGAGAGACAGCTGGTGTTGAATAGTAGCCTCATCTTTGTCTAGCGAAATAGTGGGGGAAAAAGAAGTCTTCGCTGATTGATAGAATAGTAGTGGAAAAGTGGGGATAGAAAAATAGTGGGAATGAAGAAGAGTGAAAGAGATTAAGGGGTGATGGTAGGTTAGGTGGTATGAAACAGTAGGCCCTGATCCCACCACAAACATTGATAGACAGAGAAAGAGTTACTATTCAAAGTATGTTGTCTCTCTCAACGTTGAAGACATCTTTTCAGCCAAACGCGCAGTCTATATATTATACGTCTATGGTCACGCTATCACGCGCTATCTCGATCCACTGAGCCACAACAGCACCAAACCAACCAAACGCGCTATCTCGAAATAGGTAGGTCTCCTATAGCGTAAGTACTATTAAAGGGTCGTCTACAATGGAGAGTTTTAGACTGTAACAGTAAGAAATTGACAAATCACAATCGATTATTCTTCTGTACTTTGTCTGTGATTGGTCAATTTCTTACTATTACGGCCTACAACTCTCCATTGTAGACGGCTCTTAAGAGAGACAAACATAAAAGTTTTAAAATGTAGAAAAACTTAACCTTATTTTAGAAAAGGACAGAAAGGAGATAAAACTCGAATTGAAGAGTACATCAAGAAGAAAAAACAAAATAAGTAAGAAAAGCAAAATGAAATGCATCACAATAAAAGATACAATTAGTGGAGATACATATTACATAAAATTATCATCAGAAGAAAAACAACGTTTCATAATAGGTCAATTTATTTTATTAAATATGTTTTCTATATGTTCTCTTTTTTATTTCTAAATATCTCTGTAGTAAAAATTGTATTGTATTGAATACATGAAGTACTATAGTACTTATTATATTTTTTTATAAGAAAATAAAAGTAAAAGTGAAAACTAATAAATGAGAATATAAAATATCTTTGTGTTTAAAATAAAATAAAAATATTTATTATATTTTCAGACAGCGAATTCGCAAAGCAAAAAATGCAAGAAATTAGAGAGTTTGCACTTACAAAGCAAGGGGAAAACGATATAAATTTAAATTGAAAAGAAAACTCAGAAAATCTCGTATCAATCGTCGAAGATGATAATTCATCTTTTACAGAAGATGAGAATATCATATCACACAATTCCTGTAAAGCCTGTTCTACAATAAGTCGTATGTCGCTGTCGGATGTCGGGCGCATGCGTATTGAGCTGGCGCGTGTCATCGAAAGCTGTCGTAAGTCGAGTGTCGCTGTCGTAACAGAAGATGACCAACTTTCATCTTTTGGCGACTCGCGACTAACAGCAAAACATTTACCTAACCCTAACCTAATGACTTTTCTAGTAATATATCATTCCATACTGCTTAACCTTATTTATTTCCACATATTTGACACGATTGAAGTTGAAAATAAGTTAAAATTCATTAAAAAAACTTTCAATAATATGGAATCAACGTATGTCACAGTAACTATTGATAAATTAATTATAGAATTTAAAAAAACTTTGTTTTTTTTTTAAATTATTCATAGTTTAGATTTTTTTATCACTTGACATAAACAAAAGTTTTTATTTGTTTTTGTACGAATATAGCTCAGCTGGCTATTTAAGGTTGCTCCATACATACTATTCTAAAGACTCTTCATAGTTGATGAGTGGAAAAAAAGATCTTTTCCTATCCGACTGCGACAATGTTGTAGAACGATTGTCGCAATAACTACCGATCATCGACTGTCGACAAACGACTAGCGTCATCCGACAGCGACATACGACTTATTGTAGAACAGGCTTAAGGAAACTGTTAGTAGTGCAATAGTGCTATAAGCGAAAAAACGTGCAAGACGAACGCACCCATTGTAGACTAGCCAAATACGTGCCCAACTCTGGTTTCAGCGGCACGTGAAAATGCACCTTAAACTGAGTGACAAGCGTCAGTGTGAAAAGGCACCTTTATGTATTAACGCATGCGCAAGACAATTCCGCTTGGTGGGAACTTGTCCCTCCATCTTAGTGCTGCACAGTGCACACCGCACGTTCCTTCTCTCGCAGTCTCTCCTGTTACCAGTCAGAGTGACGTTGGACAGTTGAAGGAGTAGTCGCCATTATTATAAAGACTAGGGAGTTAAACTCGGATGCTAGGCTAGAGAACGCAATTATGGACTTTTTCACTTTCGGGCTAACCGTGATTTGATCAGGCTTGAGAAAAATTACTAATTATTTAGGGTATTCTCAGCCTCTAATATATATTAGTACGCGATCATCGAATTTGATTTGGCGCATAATCGACAATGGAGTCTCACGTTTCACCTGTGACGATCATCACTACGAATTTGCCGGTAGATACGCCGCGTCTCACGCCAACGGGGAGGATAAGCCATGCAAAAACTCGAGTCTACACGCAGCGATACAGAACAGATTGGGAGAGAATGCCAGAATTTCGAGGTATTACTATTTTTGAATCTGAAGTGTCCCAATCTATGTAGGGTTCTTTGCATTTCTAGGGATCGCATGGATCACCAATCCATTCTGTCGACATGATACGAGATTCCCACATTTAGTGTAATAAATTTTCTGCTTTTGTCCTGCCTAGTTACTAGTATACTAAATATAGGAATAAAAGAGAACTAGTACGAATTTTGAAGTCGAACACACAAAGAAGAACTAGTTATTTAGAACCTTCTCTTACTAGTATGATAGATACATATACAATAAAGCTACGTGCAAAAGAATGGAAAATATTGTACATTTATAACATGTATGAGTAATATAGTTGTACGTATGTAAAAACTAAACTGGCATTGCTCTTGCTATTAAATTTTCTTGTTGTATTGAACAAGATAAAACAGTTTTAGTTAACATAAGCCATATTAATCTAACCATATTGAAAATGTGCATACATTTCTTTCTTGCAACTCTTTATTAAAGAGAGATAAAATGGCGGCAGAGAGATAGCTGACAACTTTTTCAGGTAGACTAAAATGTTTCTTGAAAACAATCGTCTTGTGTATGTATATATTTCTTTCATTTATTATTAAAGAAACCTTTCAATTTTTCCTTCATTCATCTAGAAAGCGGAATCATCTTGTAACATATCTAGAAATTTCCAAGAGCAGAATACAGTCTACTTTTTCTTCCCACTCTTGTTGGCAAGTTTCTCTTGCCAACTTTTCTCCTCTTTTGCAGTACAGCCATGTTGGTAAAAGTGATGGAGTAAGAGACCCTGCTGATTATCAATAGTATCTCGCGCCAAGTAGTTACAATTTACACAGCTTCACTGTGAATTGAAAATAATATTTTGTGTTCAAATACATAGTTCAATAAATTAGAAAGCCTGAATAAAAAGTATCTCTTTTATTTAGAGAAAAATATGATAAAACATTCCCAGGAAGATATTTTTTATCTGGGAAAAAATTACAAAAAATGTTCAATATTTTATTGACACTTGTACAATATAATATGACTTTTTATATATGTTAATATTATTACTTGGAGACAAATAAAAGATTTATTTAATTAATAATAATTAATATTAATAACAGCTCGAGATGAAACAAATTATAATACAATGAAAAAACCAAAAAGTATAAAATAAAAAGTATCTAAGTGGTTTTTTTCTTAGACAAAAATAAAAGTAGTTAATTATTATCAATACTTTGACAAAAACCTATTAAGTGACAAAAATAAAAATATTTAATATAATTAATGTTAATAATTTAGTAATTTTATATATATACACAATTAGGATTTTATACATATCTATTATACATATAACACACTATACATATCTATTATGTATAGTTTTCTTTTTACGATAAAAACAATTACATTTTTGTTATAGGATGGCTAACTTCGGTACCATTTCAGCCAACTCGTGCTTATTGTAAATATTGTAAAAAAAATTTACATGCACATCGGTTATCACTATTGAAACATACATGCACAATGAAGCATCAGCGTTCAGCTTTGCAACACAAGGAGGAAATTAGTGAGAATAAAGGAGATATCAATACACCTGAAATAGGATACATGGAAGAAGTCGAGGTAAAAAATTCAATTTTTGGCTATATTAAGCATAGTTAAAAAATAAGTATGTTTACAATCAAAAAATATAAATATAGTTCCTCTCATGAATATTTTCAAAAGCTATAATATATTATCTTTCCTTTTATTATAGACTGATATGAATGAAAGTCAGGAAGAACTTGATCAAGAAAACGAAGATGAAGAAATTGAATATGTTGTAGAAAGACTAGATGATGATATATTAGAAAATCAAGAAGTTAATGAGGACAAAAGCATAGAAATGGTCAAGGATGAAGAAATATATGTACAAAAAGAAGAAGTTGATGATCTTTGTGCACAGCTGCAGTCTGATGAGGACGATCCTAAACTTATAGTAAAAAAGGTCAAATTGCCTGAGGTAATTTATGCTTTAAGTTATATTTATTAATAAAAAAACAGATAATATTATGCGCTTCTGTAAAAATTTATCGTTTTTTGTTTATACAGGAAAAATGTAGAGATCCTTTAGCCCAAGCAATGGCTCATGTTCATAGCGAATATTTAGATGAAGAAGGAGAAGAAATGGACAACTTAGAGATGGAGGTAGAAATGGTGGTAGAATCTACGGATCCTATGATTTCCGATAGAGAAGAGACGTTAACAGAGACATATGAAGAAGCAAACTCAATACAGGAAGCCAACAAAAGATCTCTAGAAAAATCTGTAAGTAGATGGTTCTACGTTTTTTTTTCGAAGAATATAGAAATGCACATGCGTCGTGCATATCTCGAAACACGAAAAATTAATTTCTCAATTTTTTAAAATTTTAATTATTTTCAATGATCTTATTTTTTTATCAGTTGGATACTAAAATGAGGCTTTTACGAATATTTGTTATGCTTAACTAGATTTGTTATTTAACAGCAAGAAGATATAAATATTAATTTAGTCCCAGCCGGTTCATCAGTCATACTAGATTCGGGCACTGAACCGATCAGTTTTGAAGCAGTCACGTCTAAGATCGATAACAATAATTCAAACAAGACTGTTACTTTAATGTGCGGCAGCAAGACATTTACATTAAGTGGAGGTTCATTCCAACCGGGCACACAGTATGTGCTTACCAAACTCCAAAACAAACCAACCATAAACGACTCAAAAACAAGAACAATTAAGGTCACTGAAACAGATAAGACAAAGTTGTCCGTTGCTTTGGGATCAACTTCCAACATTAATCAAACGTTATTTACACCGAGCACCGGAGAGTCACCTGTACCTGGTACTAGCCAGATCTCGGTTGTTTGTGAAACCAAAACTCCGAATAGAAAAGTAAGAAAGGTTATTTAATCTGGTCTAAGTTGCTTCTTTGTTAATTGATTTTGGAGCTTCGAAAAGATGATCAAACGATCATCCTAAACGTCCAGAATTTTATAAAATAAGAAAACTAAATTAAATATATATATATATTCTGCGCTTAATTTATTGATTTGCTGTATTGGTTGGATAACAGCTTTATGCACGCAATTTGAATTTGCAAACAGAATCCGTTTGCAGAATCTAAATCTATTTACAGTTCGAGGAATGGTGTATAGGCAATAACTCTCTCTCTCTCTCTTCTCTTTTCGAACCCGCTAACCAATCCAAAAAAAATCACAATCATAACGCGTTGCTTGTCTTTATGTGGAACTAAGTTTAATTTACCTTTGTTGTTTTTACTTCAGATTTCTTTTGGAAAGCAGACACTAAAAAGGGAATATAAAAAGATGAATCTTACAACACATGTAATTGACTCTACTAAAGGACTTCCGGTCGCTGGCTTGCAAGTTTGTGTATACAAATTGATGGACGGCAAATGGACCTTCTTGAATGAGAGGTAAAATTTCTACTAATTCTTTTGCTTACTTCTTATTTAACATAATCATTATTATTAATTAAATTGCAAGTAATTACAAAGCAACAATACAAAGGGATCACATAAAAGTATAGATGTAAAGTTTTTACAATTTTGCTTTCAGCACTACAAATATAGAAGGCCGTTGTAATGATTTGGTGGACAAAGTAAGCTGTCCGGCCGGTCGTTACAAGATACATTATGACGTTGATAAATATTTTTCAGTGAGGAAAATAGATACTCTGTTTCCATTTATCGAAATCATAATCGACGCAAAGAATCCAAATACTCACTATCATCTGCCTCTTTTATTGAGTCCATTCGGTTATACGACTTATCGTGGCAGCTAGACATTTCAAATGCTCACATTGTTATAATACAAAAAACCATCGATATAATACAAAACCATATATTTTTGTGCAAATATTTAAAAAAAAAAAGATCTTCAAAAGAAAATCTACCATCAAGTTTGCGATTTTTACAGAAAATTTTAAAAATAAAAACTTAGGGATAAGTTCAAAAATATTTGTTATTTTTATAAGATATAGAATATAAGTACATGTATATAAATAAATAGATAATCACAAATTATTGTAAGACGTGAACACGTTATTGTCAAATGTGTCCAACTTTTTTTGTAACACTTTAATCCAATAATCTTATGATTTATTTGTAAAATGAGATATTGAGTCGAACACTTGTTATAAGTTTTTGCCTCTATTTTTTTTTCATGTAACGTCATCAAAAAGAACGGCGCACTTCGCTGTACTCAAAATAACAACAGGTTTCTCGAAAAGATTAGTTGATTAGAGCACGCGCAACCATGTCGAGCAGCTCGATTAATTGTCCGCCTAACAATTATGTTAATTAGAGAAACAAATTTAGAGAAATTAGAGTAAAATAATTTTTATAACAAGAACATAAATTTTTATAATGATTATTTACATATTGAATTACATTTATGTATCTATTGTTAACAAAAATAAGACTATACTTGATTAATCATACGGTAGTTCCTCGCTAACGCGTCGAATTTTTTCTTTGGTATTGTGCCAGGAGTCATCCTCATTAATTCCTAGAAGTCTTTTGCCGAGGCTTCGCGCGAATTGATAGGGATGACTTTGCGGCAGTCGAGCCAATGATCGAGCCAATCAAAGATGACAGCCGGCAATTTTTGGAACAATACTTCTCTCGACATCTTTCCGCTCGCAAGAAAAAGTTAGCAAGGCACTACTGTATTAATTAATATAATACAATAAACGTAATATTAATTAATTATAATAATAAGTATTTTATATTATAATATGTTTAAGTATATAAACCTAAGTATAAACACTATTATGGAAATATCGTATTTTTTTATTTTGTTGAATTTAAGATTTTGTTTTTTTTTTCAAAGCACATAAAAATACTGTTACTATACATATAGTAACAGCATATATACATTGCATATATACATATATGGATATTTATCGGTAAAATCCAAATTGTCCTAATACACACACACACACACACACACATTGTATTGAAGAATAACGCGCGTCATACTGTAGCGAGAAAGAGAGAGACAATAATAATTATAGCTGCGTAATGGTACTATCGATATGTACTTTTGAGTTTTTTCTTCCAATTTTTATACACAGCAATTAGTATATCGTAACACAGATGCTTAATACGATGATAATTAAATGAATTATATTTTCCTAAGTAAATAGTTATGTGATATATTAGGAATATAAAAACTGTGTATAACAATGCATAAGATATAAGAGGAAATATAATGGAAAAAAAACGGAAGAGATTAAAAATTACACTTCATGTTTCTCTAATATATCTTTCTGTAGATATAATTAATTGTTTGAAAGACGAAAAAAGCGCATTTTTTACCCAACATTTTACATTGTTATGCAAAACTGTTTAGGCGAACTTGTTTGATTGTTAGTGTGGTGGTAAGTAACTGCGATCAGCATTAGTCTTTGGCGGTATATATGTTGTGTCTCCTGGTCCTCTGGGAGGTCCAATGTGTGGCCCCGTTGGCCTCGTTCCACCGATCGCTGCAGCACCCAGTCTAAACCCAGCTCGATATCCATTTTCATCCGCGACGTAACTTGGGAAAGATTTCGTTATGTTTATTTATTTATTTATTTTGTTTTTGTTTTTTTGTATTTTTGTTTTCGAGCATTAAGAAATACAGATTTTAAGATATCGTTGAAATATTACATAAAAACCGTTCCACGCGTTGAATACGAAAGTAAAAGGTGGAAATAAAAAGACAACGATAAAAAAAAATCCGGAAAAAGTTCAGTCAATTTTTGTTTTTGTATTTCTCTAAATCTAAAAAAATCTGATATATAAAAATAGCCAATAAATTATTTTTACTCAAATGATTAATTCGAGAAACGCAAGTTTGTTACAATAAAATTTATACACATTCTTACTTAACGGAAACAGGAATTCCCTCGGGGCTTTTATAGGAATAAGAACCTTCCACAACTCGGACCAATTCGCCATCCACAAGTTTCAAAGTGGCGATTTCCTGCCTTTGAACACCATCTTCATCGTTAATGATATTTGTAGAGATTGATGGACTTGCGGCTGTCTTTGGTTCACGTTCGAAAGGCGGATTCAGGATCAGACCACCAGAACCGCGAGCGAACTGCGGCGCTTTTTGATTCGAAGATAATTTTTCGGCAAAGCATGCCGAGAACGACAGCAAACACCAAGTCTGTGGAAATTATATATTCCAGATAAGTTAATCTATTGGTTTTGTTTAGAAAAAATAAATATTGTTTGAATTCTGTGCGTATATATTGATAATCTATGATAAACCATTTTCCTTTATAAGTTTTTAAAAGAAAGATCATTTTCCTTTAAGTAATTTATTCTAAGATTGATAAATCACATCTATGAAGACAAGAAGAATCTTCGAGAATGACCTCGCGACCGGTGTATTGGATAATCGCGCACATAGGTGGGGGTGGATCCTTTGGAAAAGGACACTTTCTACTTGATCGATGACCGACCACCAATCGGGCCTACATTTCGAACGCTTCAGGGCCTGATAACCGGCCCGTGAGAGTTGTGAAGATGCAATCGCACGGACGATCATCGGGAAGGTGCGACGAGAATTTCGCGAAACGCGCCGTTTCAACGGAGATGAACTTTCAACCCTCGACAATGCGGTATATTATGGAAGACAGCCGATGTTTAACCGCGGACGGTATTTTTCATATACTGGAGATAGAACTGGTTCCTGAAACGATTGCGCATACTTCGGTTATTAATCCAACGGCTTATAGTAATCGTGGACATATACATTTGAAAGGAAAAGCAAGCAGATAGACGGAGAGAGAGAAAGAATCTCCTTATATTATGTTATTAAAGATTTGTAAAAGCCAACCACGACATTAATTAGCGATATTAATCGCTGTCGAATTAATTATCAAGTAATATGATATTATGTTTACACATATACAAGTTAAAGCGGTATATATTACTGCAGAGAAGAATTATTGTAAGAAATGAAAATGTATTTTGCGTATTGTATCTTATTTTCGAATGTTCATACGACGGCTGAAAAGTTCTAAGCTTGAATTTGTATTTTGTTTGCATGACAGTCCTGGCGATAAATATTTGTCTAACTTTTAACCCACGCCGTATCGATTAGGTATCGATCGGTTAAATTTGAATATGTTGTATACAACATGCGAGCGGATTTAGCCAATGATTTTCAAGAAAAACATCTCTCAAAAAACCAAAGATAACGCTCGATAAGATCGTTCAGGGAGATCACCGGCAACCGTCGACGCGAACGGATCGGGACGACAGATTGTATCCGCGGGGAATCATTTCATTTGTTAACATATAACGTACAATTATACTCGTTTTTATAACCATAAGTATCGGTGATTATTTAATCTTTCCTTTTTTTTTTACCTATCGACAACCTACTCACTTACATTACACGTATAAATTAATATTTAGATATAATATATATAATTTAAATCTAAATTTAACACACTACTAGTTCAAAAAAAAGGATTAACAAAGTCGTGTTAACATTTTGATGCGCTTTGAAAGATGAGATAGAACACGCGTTCGCATAGATCTTGCAATTTAACGCACGTGTGACTTCAGAAATATTGATTGATACTTTTTATTTCGTTTTATATATTTATCGGATGCGCCGCAAGTGCGATGTAACGATTCATTTAACGAGGACGTAAAAATTTGCAAAGGTGCAAATGCATCGTGTGTAATGCAACAGCAATAATATATTTACGAGCGACTTGTGCGTTATTTGTATAATAGCACACTGACACTCTATAAGGATTCTGGTAGCGTTCTCCTCATGTTTCAATGTGGATAACTTCGACGAGAAATAATTTACGATGACATGCATCCGCGTTATCTTCTCTCTTACATTTATTGCTGAATGCAACATCGAATATAAATTGCTCACTTAACGATCTTAAACTTATTTCTTTCCCTCTCTTTTTTCTATACCAACGTAATATTTAAAACAATTAAAATTATTAGATGTATAAAATAATAGATATTGGTCACAATAATGATAGTCAAAATAATTTTGAGAATAATTATAATCGAAACATTTACAAAATATAATTACGATTGCTATATATTTTTATAATGATTGTAGTTTACTTTTAACTTTCAATGACCTTAAAAAAAATAAATAAATAAATTTTAGAGTAATAAAAAAAGCAAAATCCTTGAAATTCGTTTAAATCGCATGTAAATATATACATATATAAACTCTAGAAAGATATAAAAATTTATTATCATGTGTTAAATATGCAAAATTCAACTCTTCTCTCTCTTCTTCTTTTCTTCTCTCTATCCTCATCGGAAGGATAGAATTTTCTTCGCGCGTGTTACGCAGCCGTTAGAATTTTTCCTCCCCTTCTTTCTCACTCTCTCTCTCTCTTTCTCTCTGCAATACTTACTAGCGAGTGGACAATCCCACGATGACCCATAGTGACCAGTTATGACGATGAAGAAGACACTTTGCACTACATCACCCAGCACGCGGCACTTCGACAATCGCGGCCACTTTGCGTTACAACGGAGCTATATATACCGAGTCCTGTTAGCGGATCCGTGCTCCTGCGCATCCCTCGAACCTTATATATATATATGGTGACGACGTGTTTCGCGCGCTCTCCCTCCCCTGATCATCATCAACGAAGAGAACGATCTCTTCAAGCTACCGTCTAATTGTGATTCACGACTTGAACGATCACTGCTGATCTATTGCGTGTGCAAGGCGCACGTGTGTTTGTTTATTTATGTGTAGTAACAAGCCCGAGATTATTGTTCCGAAACCCGAGCCGTGGTTGACAGTAATCGAAAGATTATTCAAGAAATATGGACGATTTTTACTGACGGTACGGAGAGCGTCACGTAACGATCCTCTATACTTGTCGATGGTGGGTGAGTGACATTTCAGACAGCTTTTGATTTTTTTAACGATAGTTCCTCTCTAGTTTAAGATAATTTTCTCTTATGTAATTACATAACATTCAAATAACAGAATTTTTGATGCAATTATAAATTATCAATAGAATTGTTGTGTTTTTAAACAAACGTGCACGCGAAATATGATAGAAAAAGTAATTGTTCCATTTTTGTGTTTATTTTATACACATATTTACATTTTTTCTTTAATTTAAATATTTGCTTTTAAAAAACGTTCGTGCTCGTGAGAATTAACTTAGCGCGCGCTATCTCTTCCGCATCTCGCGGATTTTGATTTTGATTTCCGGCGCAAAGTGACATTACGAGTGCGTAAACGGATAATCCCAAAAGCACGCGCGTGCACCGTGAAAAGCGAGACGACACGTTGGAATTATCGTTGCCAATTTAAAGGCCACCGTTGTCACGACGAACCCGCTGTCGATCTGGCTCGTTTTAAGGGCAACGCGAACAAACAATGCGATCTCTTGAACCTTTAATAGGATGCGTTCTCGCTCTTAATAGGATACGCCATAGCTTTTGCTGACATTTTATCTCTGTTGCGACGTTACCGCGATGCCTAACCCACTGCATTCCGCAATCTACTAACGGTAGCGATTGATCACCTCTGTCAATATCGATTCCGTGAATTAAAATCGCATCGAAAAATAAGCGTTTGAATCAAGCAACCGCAACAAAGATATCAAATTAGTCGAGAAGCAAAAAGGCCAAAGTTATTATAGAGAAGACCCAAAGTCTTTTGTATAACGTCAAGATGAGAGATATGAAACAAATCAGAGAATTTTCCTTTAATAAAAATTAATTGCATGTATAATACAATAAGTAATTTGGATTTCGATTAAAGATTTTCTTTCTCCCGGAATTAAGAGTCACAACCACGTGACGAAATTAATTCGTCAGTTAAAAGACTAATCGAAGGACGATGAAATTTTGTAAACTAGAGAAAGATAGTAATCTGAGATTATTCAGTGTAATGTAACGAAGAATGAAATGCGACGTACGCCATCACTCTCCAAGTTGCATAACTTTAGTAAAAGGTTCGATACAACTTTTCTCTCTCTTTCTCTCTCCCCTCGTTGTGAAGACTTTCGAGAGGTAAAGATGTACAAAAATATTGTTGCGCAACGTACGCGCAAAATTATAGTCCAGCACACGCAACCCACTACGAGAGATATAAATAAAATATCGCGCGCGTTCATCGAGAATTTTTTTGGCTCGGAGTTACAGAGTGAATCGTGACCGTAAGGCGCGCGACTTACCTCTTATCCTGATTTATCTCAGCATTTTTACTGAAAACCTCAATGCAGAAAGTTCTATAATATATCGAATATATCGCGGCTCGCCTAAAATGTTAATTAAGCGAACGCGTTAATTCACGGCCTTTCTTGTTTTTTTTTTTCACTTTAGAAAAAATGCATAAAAAATTGTTTTGAGATAATTGTTCTGATAAACTGATAATTTATTTTTTCCTACTTTTCTTCGTAAAATGTAACACAGATATAACAAAGATTTACAGAATAAAGTCTAGAACAAAATTCGTTTTTTTTTTTTTACTTAGTTTTCAAACAAAAATGTATCTAAATGCTAATTTCTGGAACACATTAATCTATGTATTATTTTTTCTGATCTTTAGCGTACAGAATGTACTATGTGAAAAAAGCCAATGGAGTACTGTGTAACTCGTATATGTTTTATGCAAGAATTCGAAAGCATCTTCCAGTGGACGGTAAAGATTTCAAATTAAATCATCGATTTATTATGATTTCATAATTTCTGTCCAATTGCAAAATGAAGTAAAGATTTTTATGAAGAACTACTTTGCTCAACATTCTGTCATGTGGGTAGAAGACTCCGAACAAAACGGAATATTTTCTAATAATCCAATACATAATTACAAATATACAATAATATATGATAAATGCCTCAAGAGTCTCTTGTGTAGTGAAAGTTCACGTATCAGAGTGGTCTATTCTCAAGTTATGTAATAAGAATTAATTGAATTATGATCAAAAGCTATGTACATAATGATATATTGTTTTAACATTTTTGTTTATCTCTCTTAAATAATTATACAGTTTTTATTGTATAAGAAATTTTCTAAAACCCACAGTGTGAGAGAGATGTACGTCATCACATATATCGTAGCAAAATGCATAAAATTATATAAACAATATTTTAAAAATTTAGATAAACAACAAAGTATGGGCCTTTGTGTTAGAGATTATATAGGTCAAATTACTCCAGTTATGAACCCCTTCTGTTGTCTCTGATAATTGGCGTATTTGCTCTCGCCGTTATTTTTAACTATTGCTCGAGTACGTTATGAAGATGAGCGAGATGCTCGTCGTGAGTGAATGAAACGGGTGAGTAGTGCGCACTGGAGCACGCGTGTCACCTGAGTATCACGAGAGTGTGATTATAGAGTTGACACACTTACTTGTATTGATAATAATAGGTAGCCGGCGTTACTTTATGATAATTAGCACAAAAATCAAGATTAATTATTATTATTAACTTACGAAAAATAACAAAATAATAATGATGATAATAACAAGAAAAAAGAGCGTTATTCGTAAATAAACACATTAAAGTGATAAAATATCTGGAGAGGTCGTTGCACCAAAAATCAATCACTGGCAAGACGCCAACTATCGGGGTGGTTAATGTCCGTAGAAAAATACATCCCGCTGCAAATATAGGACAAACCTCAATCCGATGCATCCTCGCGTCTGCAGTATCGATTAACGTAAACTTTTTCACACACAAAAAACAATTTTCTTCTCGGTGAAAAAGCGACTCGACAATATGTATAATATTTATCAGCAAGAATGACTGTTAATTATTATTAAGTAAATTTAACGTTGATGTGTGATGTCGAAAGATATTTTGAATTGGTGTCAGCCACTTCGCGCACTCAATAAATAATTCGCTTTACGTAATCCAGGTACTCTAGTCAACTTCCCGTAAGACAGTCTATTAAATGACAAGCGTAGTCGTAATTTTCACGGCTCGACTGACATCTAATTTACATTTTCTCTTCAAGTCATTATTTATTGTTGTGATTTTGCATTTCATTTTGAAAGACATGGAATTTTTTAATTTCGGAAGAGAGCTAAGGAATGGAGTGATCCGTTGGGGACGGCCTACACGAACAGGTCCAAAACTGAGCTTATCAAGTTTTGCATATCTTACAAATTATGATTCTGTTTTGCTGAAAAAATCTCATAAATTTACATTTGAAGTTATCATTCTGAAGAAATATAAATACAAGGTGTGTTAAAATTATCTTCTTTCATTCATGAATTTAAGATTTTAAGATTTTAACTGTCAATTAATATTCATGATATTCTGGAGCTATCCTTGTAGGCCTCGTAATGCTAATCAACTCTGGTCAGTGTTAATACAATCTTCACACGTCATTTTTTTTTTAACAAGACATTTAATATTCGTTTAATATCTGTAAGCTCAGCAGAGTCAACATTTTTGCGTGGGAACAGACGTTAAGAGGTTCTCATGTGTAGGTATGCGCGCGTTTACAGATTCCTCTCGTTTGCGCTGCGCACACTGCGCACACTGCGCTCGATCGGCTCTTCGCGGCACGCGAAATATTTAAGGGATTCGTTAAATCTTCTGGATTATTTTTCGAGGCATAACACAAGCTATAAAGGAGCACGGCATACAAAACAGATAAAAGAACAAGAAAAATAAAAATATTTATATATACATTTGCATTTCTCTCTACTTTTTTTTTTAAGAGACTAAAATTGCGTTATTGCTATAAAATTATTAATACTATTTAACAAAAAGCATATTTTATAAATTTACAAATTTGACATGAAAAATATTTTGAACAAATTTTATATCTTGATTACAATAATGCGCTTTTATGTCGTGCAATATACTGCAACAAGATTACTAATGGACAATTATAAACATTCGTTCGTTATAAAGAGGTTTTAAATCGCCGCCACGAAGAGTTTAACACCTCCCAATATTCTCGACTAGTTCGCACAATATAAATTGCTTTCGTCCATTAAAAATTGCCACTGCGGAAGCGGGGAGGCACCGAGATCTCCTCCCCGAGCGGCTCGTTAATTAGGAAAATAGTATCTTCGACATACCATTTGAACGATCCGGTTTCTTTCTTTCGGCATTTCATGCATTTCTTTTTTTTTTTTCGCCGTCGATCAAGGTGAGAGTGTCTTTAATAGTATTAGATCTTAACGAGACTCCAAATTGATCAAAGAACTCGCAAATGCAGCGAGGTGTGGTACGCATACTCTGTACACAGCGACGTTTAACGTGCATATTCCTCACATGTATCAACGATCATCGAAGCCACTGAATTAGGTTTCTCATAAACGGCGAACGTATTCTGCTCGCACCGAGATCTAACGGACGAATTATGTTCCGCGAAACTTTCCATGCCTCTTATCTCGCGCACTTTTCGACCTAGAATCATCTCATTCATTGTCATTCTTCTTTCCTCTCTTTCTTTCTTTCTCTCTTTCTCTCATTTACTCACTCACTCACTCATTTTTTTTTTTCATGCACTCTTTCTTCCTTTCTCTCTCGCTCTACGCGCACAATGCAATCTTAAAATCACAATAATTCTGACGATAATTAACCACGATAATAAAAGCATATAAGCTATACAGCTACCATTCTGTATCTACAATATAGTTTTGTATGTATAATATATATATATATTTATATATATTTCTCTCTATTTTTTTCATCGCATTTTTTTTCCACTTCTCTAGTGTTCCAGTTCTCTGTCTCGAGCGGTTTAATGTTCGTTCGCGCACTGACGTTCCTCATTTTCCTGCTCTTTGTGTGAATTCTAAAATTCTCTCCCGCATCCGGAAACCCGGAAGCCGAAGATAGTTCGGTGACGTTCTATCTTCTTTGACAAGAACTTCCATTGTTGTTGTATCCGCTGTGCCGCGCCAAATCCGATAATCGATACAACGAATTTGATGCCACGCGACAAATGCAACGTTATTTTTCAGGACATCTTAAGATTTCGATTTTTTTCAGCAAGAATTAACAGCTTCTCAGAATTTGCCTCTTAATATCTTTCATTTTTTTCTCTTTCAAGTTCTGACCTTTAATACTGGGTATTCTGTTCTCTTCTTTTCGTCGTCATGATAAGCATCGTTTTGATATCTCACATGCAACTTATTTTTCTCTTATTCTTCAATTTCAATCTCAAATTAATATTATTATTTTATATACGCGATTGCACGTTCCTCGTCTTCCTTAATATTTCTGCTTTTCTTTGTCAATGATTTCTATCTCATTTTATTGATAAAAATTTCTTTTCTCTTTTTAACAAGTCATCTTCTAGATTTCTTCTGTGATTCCAACAAATTATGTTCAGAATACCGGCGCGTTTTTCTTGCATAAAACGTTCATCGGTATTCTCTTCGAGACAATTCTCTCTCCAAAGAAGCTGCTTTTTCGTTGACGCGTTTTCGACGCGTTTCTTGTTCCACGTTTTGAGCTGCTCAGCCGCGACATCTTCGGAAACTTTGTGAAGATCGAAGATCTCGTGAAGTCATGCGCTCCCGACAGTGGAGGAAGGTCCGTATAGCGTACGCGTCTCCGCCGCTTCCGTCGCGCAATAATTACTGCAGTACGCAGCACTTGCACTTAGGCTTCTTCTTCAGGGTGACGTGCTCGACTTGGGACGCGTCGCCCGGTCCCTGTGCCGTCATTCTCGCGACTTCCACCGTCGCAGTCCTCGCCGCGGATGCCTAATCGACAGATACAGTTCGTCTTTAATCTGTCGCCAATTTATACAAATATATTTTGTTCTTTTTCTAAATTCTTCGATCTTAAATTTTAGAACTTTATTCAATAGATCTTTCCTTTTTATATTACTTTTACATTATTCAAGTTGTTGAATTACTTTAATTATTATCTATATAAAATCTTTAAAGCTTCTTCGCACCTTCTCATTGACAGGCTGCTGATTGCTCTTTGACGGAGTTCCACCGTGAGCGCTGCCATTTTCCTGGCCGGGCCTCGGCGAGGCATGACAATTCCCAGATTTGAGCAGCGGACTGGTACTCGAATCGTGCTCAGTTTTACCAGTGTCCTCGCCTGGCAAAGGTGGTGCGTTCTGACCCGGAGTTGGTGTGATCGGTTTCCCACCCTTTATCAGTTCAACAATCTCGTCAGCTTCCCGGGACAGATCACCATCTGGCCTGAACGGATTGTCCCATCCGCTATCCGTGCTGAAATAAGAAGAAAAATTGTTGCTTTAGTTCTACTATTATTGTGGAAAGCATTTGCATATATACAGAGTAGTAAATTAAAATTTTTTAAATGTAAAAAAATAGATTTTACGTTTATTTTGTTTGTAACGTTGACATCAATATTTTTATTATTAAAACAAAGTTTTAAATTGTTACACACGCGCACATATAAACATATAATATTTTAACAATTACCGTAATATCTGTATGTACATATATATAATTGTATAATAAATATTTGTTTGATTATTTACAATACAATTTATTAAAGCAACTTGATATTTATTCGAGCAAATCTTATTCATCTAAGTTTTCTTCGAGTTTTTTTTCTCGACATTGTGTGTGTGTGTGTGTGTGTGTGTGTGTGTGTGTGTGTGTCAGTTTATGATAATGAATTTGTATCACAGCTTTATGTAAGCATTATATTTCTTTACCAAAGAAGCAGTTGAGTGGAAGATCCAGATTATCGACTACATCAACTTATTTATAATATATTGTCATAATAAAGAGAAAAATCGAGTTTCTTAACTTGAAAGAATGAATTTAAAGCGTCTTTCGCGCGCTAATTACATTCTCGCAAAAATTAATTATTAACTTAATATCATTTAAATGCAACAGGCAGCATATCTCAATTGGTCGCAGGCGCAGCGACAGTGTCACGTCGGTGCCGCTACTTAAATTATACTCAATTGCGATCATCGCGTCCGCCTCGATGACCGTGACATTAACTTCAGTATAAAATTACATTTTATTGCGCTTAATTGCGCCGTATGTACGGTACACTCTTGGTCGCTCACTCGCGCACACACGCGTGCGAGCGCAAACGGACTTCCGGTGGATTTGCACGATGTTTCCTGGTCGCATCAACCGGAGCAATTGAGGCGAACGTTGATGTGAGCGCATTTTCAGGGCCAACGTGCGCTCAAACTCACGAACCGCACGATCCGCTAAATTACTTACTCGCAAAGTGCGCGAAAGACACGCGATGTTGGAAAAGTTATGTATCATTTTAATCTCGCTTCAAATTCTCGGACCCGGAGCTACTGTTATCAGTGTTATCATGGCATTTGCATCGGCAGAAAATGGACGGTGGTGCCTATTACCGCGTGAAGATGCAATCGAATATCTTGCAATTTCAAAGCATACAGCATATTAATTTGGAAATTACATGTTTAATTGAAAAAATAAATAAAACAAAATTATCACTGTGATTAGACAATCAATTGATCTATATACACGTAAATGTGTAAAGATTATATAAAATGAAATCAGGTCGAAGAAAGAACATCTCACAAATCAACCAGGAAATAGGGATCGATCCGGATTCGATTTCCGACGAAAGAACAGATCGGATTTAATACGCGACCTTCGTTTTTCTCCAACGATAATTCTCATTACGAGATTATTCGATCAATTCGAGATAACTTCGTTAAATAGTTTCGAAGCACAATTGAAGTTTTCGTTTCGGTTATTTCTTTTTGATGTTATTTTTTGTTTAACTAATGATTCTTTTTCTCTAAAAAAAAAAGTGAAATAAGAAAAGAAAAACAACAAATAAATATCCAAAGTGTATTAATTTAAACTCTGACTGATATGTTATATTAATAATATTTCAAATATTTTATTTATAAAATAACTAGAGCAAATATGCTCTTCAATACTTTTCGCGAGATTAGACGACGTGATCCGTCGATGCATCTCCCAGCTGATGTAATCCTCATCTATGTCTATATGTATAGTCAAGCTAGGGGTTGAAGACCCCCTGAGAGAAGGAAACGTCGCTCTTTGCTCTTTGAGGTCGACGCGGCGCATAGCTCGGCGCATGGTCGCGCGGCGATCGAACTTACTCGACTATTCTTGCAATGAAAAGAAAGCAGAACGTGAAAAGAAGATAAGGTGGCGGAAAGAACAGAGAGAGAGTTAAGGAACGTGCGAAAAAGAATGAGGAAGACACGCCGACGAACCAGGAGAGATGAGTGATGAGAGAAACATTGGACGCTTGAGTTTATTATTTCGATAATAGAACCTCGCCGTGATACAACAGTTCGAACGGTTTTGTATCATTTCTGAAGACATTTTATACGTGCAATTAAAAATCTTAAAAAAAAATATTATTTTATTTTATATTTTATATTCTGCGAATTTATATATTTTTCTGAAGAATCAAGTTTCGTTTCGAACAAAGAGAAAGGGAAGCGTAAAATACCTTGATAAAAATCATGTCGCTTCATATAACGCTTCGCGATCGTCAGAAAACATTTTACGATAAAGCGTTTCGTAAATCTGAAGCTTTCAGAATGTGACATTGTGTACACGCAACAACTCGACAAAAGACGAGGCGAGAAGAAGAGACGCGCAAACATCATCGACAAAAACGCCGAATAGGGCATACCTCCGGTTTAGATGCTTGTGTAAAGGAGCTGTCAAATGTGATTACCTCTCGTTGCCATCGGTGTCCTTCGGAACCTTGATCACGTAGTACACGTGGCCGCCGTGGGTGGTCGTCATTTTTCGATTGCTCCCGGCAACATTTGACAGTAATCTTCAAGAAATTCTCTCCTTCCTTTCCTCTTTCTCTCCTTTTTTTTCTTTCACTCCTTCACGCTCCACTAAGTGTGAAGTTGATCTTCGTAGACTTCATCGTGCTCTCACTCTTATAAAAAAAAAACTCCAACGATCCAAGACTGACCGGAACGTCTCCGCCTCGACGAAAAAGAACTTGGCCGATTTCGCGAGAGCAAACTTGAGGAGCAACATAAGACTTTATTTTTAAAGCGCGTCGCGACATAGAGAGAGAGAGAAATCTTCCTCTCTTTCTAATTCTTTCTATCTCTTTTTTCCTCTTTCTCTCTCTCTCTCTCTCTCTCTCTCTCTCTCTTTTTCTCTGTCTCTTTCTCTCTTTTTCTCTTCGGTATTGGCTGCTTTTCTTTCTCTCTAACATTCGAAAAAACAGAAAGAGACAGAAAAGGATCTCGCGCGTTATTTTGGAGTTGACCGGGCTTGCCAAATCAAGAGGGAAGTTTTCCGCGTCGAGTGTTTTGTGTTTTGTATATCGAGTGTCTGCTACGAAATCGCCTATCGAGTGTCCATTTATCTGCCTTCTGGCTTCTAAGAAACTAGAAGATTGATGAAACACACGATCGCGAACGACTGCACGACATTTTGAAATATTACAAGGAAAAGATCGGTTGCGTAATGCTTTTGTAAAAACTGCGCAACTAACAAACCGAATAATTTATTTTACATCTTTCATTTGTCTTTTTGCAAACGTGCTAATTTTATATTACCTTTCATAATAATATCGAACTGTCAAAAATATACCCAGTTGACAGCACGCGGCTATGCGAAGTAAAAAAAACTAAAGAACTAAGTATCACGATAAAAGTGGCGATAATTGACATAGAGAAAAAATTTCGATATATTTGAGCATCGACATTACATGTCTTTCTGAAATCTGAAGAGAGAATTCGACGATTATAATTGTAAATATCATTACAACGATCGTAAGCATCGCGATCTTTTCCAGACTTTTTTCCGACAAAAATCTGTCATTTCTTTATATTATTTTCTATCTGAGAAACTTTCCAAGATTCCTTCTCTCTCGTGGCAAACAAAGGTTTGTTTGTCGGATAAGCTTAGCAAACTACTCGTAAACGCGGACAAGTCGCAAGACGCACTTCCGTCACGTAAAAGCTGCAGTATCGAGAAGCGACCTATTTCGGGATAGTCCGTGACCTATTTTCTTCATTTCTCTCACCGCGATATGTCCACTTGCGCTTGCAAGTAACTGGTCAAATCGTCGACGTCTGCTTTCGCACACATTTAGCATATTTTCCGCGCGTTAAAAAGAAAGAAATTCTCAAAAACGGCAGCGCAGCGATTTGTTCATCCGCGATATTTTCGCGAATGCGCGCATAGGTCGCTCGAAAATAGCCCGGAAATTTACACGTTGAGTCAGCGTTTTAAGTAGAAATACGCAGCTCTTCGGATTCGCATTCTACTCGCATTTCTAGTGTTCGCATGCGATAGTTCGCATAAGTATAAATTTTGTCGCTGTATTATTAAGGAGTATAAAGAAAAACGGTCTCCTATTAGATGAGAAATTAATTTTGATGGAACACAAATGATATTAAAAAATACAATCTACCATGTAATGACGTGACCAGTCGCACTTAACAGCTTTTAAGTCGAAAGAGAGAGAGAGTGAAGAAAATTTCAGGGGATATGCGACTTAGTTGTGCAACTAGTTGCCTAGCGGAACACGACTAGATATCGATTCGGCACTGTTTACGTACGACGTACGGCTTCAATGATGGTTGATTCATCGATAAAACAACACGCAAATCAGACAGACTTTTATCAAGAATCAGTAGAAATTCTGATTATTTCAACAAGGACGGGGACGGATCGCGATCTGCTATATTTAAACAAAACGGGGATAAGGACGGTATTGTTAATTCGTTTCTTACGTATGTATGCATGTAAAAATAAACCGCATAAGAATATAGTACATTTGTATGGAACGACATGCGAACGCGCGAAAAGAACTTGGAGTGTTTTTCTTCAACAAACAAGAAACCGACCGTTAATTCGCTTGAGGTTTGTTCGCTTGAGGTTTGTTCGCTCAACGACGGGACGCTTAACACACAGAGACTTTGTTTTCTTCTCTATGAATGGAACTCTATCGACCATTTAACGTGTGCGGAAATTCAATGTGCGAAATCATTTAAACCATTTATTTTCTTGAGAGACAAGTTGCAATATGAACTATATTGTTTACTTTTTCATGACGCAACAAATTTTATTGCAACCTTATTCGACATTTATTTGTGTTTTACATATCTGTGAGTTGTTGTACAATATATTTTTTAGCACGTCTAACTGTTGATAAAGATCCTCGTAAAAAGCAGAAACGTTCGGTTGTATTTCGAAATATATAAGGATAGTTAATTCTCAATCATCCGTTGCTCAATTTCATA